TATTATTATTATTATTATTATTATTATTATTATTATTATTATTACTATTATCGTTCTTAACTATCATCCATCATATTTAGTTATCAAATAAAACAAATTTTTCCCGTGTGAAGTTCACCACTGGTTTAAAATTTTTTCTCTTAAATTCAACTCAATGTTGTTGTTTATTTTTATAAAATTATTATCTGTCAACAGCTAATGATCATCTACTGTTTATGTTTATAACTGATAATCTGTCAGCACCATGTGTGATTAGATTAACCTTCTTTTTTCTCTCCCCGTTCATTCTGTATCATTTTTTCTGACACAGTTGTAACAACATCAACGACAGCAACAGTAATCCAGTAATAAATTTTGACTGTATATTGTTATGCTTAGTTGTTTTAATAGTCGAAAGTAATTTACAGCACAAATTGATATCAACTAGAGAACCAACTATATTAGAACCAGAGGACATACTCATTTTTATGCTTTTCAATGATTCATACTGATAACTGTATACAGAACTCATAAATCAGGTATTATGTAGGGATATTCATCAAATATTCTAAGAGAATTATTTTTATAGGTCTGATTCTATTGGTCGATTCCTACTGATCAATATTATGGTCGTCCTAGCTATCAATGTCACGTACTTCTATGTTTTTTCCCATTGGTCGTCCTAACTATCAATGTCACTTCAAAGGTTGTTTCCTATTCGACCTAACTGTATAAATACGCATTATCTGTAACACTTTATGACCCGGACCTGGATCCCTAGTCCGGGATCCTGATTCTCTTCTGAACTCGAACCTCGTACTTTATGGATGCATTTAGAATACATGTTCTACTTCAAATCAAGCCTTCTCCTTTTACTCAATGAGGGTTTGGGACAATCGGAATAGATTAGCCTGTCGTGTCACCGGATCCTCGATCCTCGCTCTCGTTTTCCGACTAAGGTAAACTCGTAATAGTTCAAGCATATCAAATGACATGTTAACGTGCATGCGTAACAAATTATAAACGTTAATTTTAGTTTATTGATTTGAACTAAGTCAAACTTCCGTTAACATTTCCAATTCACAATATTCACTATACAATTACGAATATCATTCATTCAGTATGATGAATGAAAACTGCACGAGTCAATACTTCTCTGTAAAACACTTTGGGAAGTTTGTCTGAAACTCAGCCATTATTTAACACAGAATTATTATTGAGGTATATACGTATATTATCTTTTAAGTAATTTTGTTGACGTTTACAGTGATTTTAACTACAGGCTGACATTAAGTATTGAATCACTTAACTCCATTCGACATCAGAGAGTTGTATTAGTGTGAGACTACTGTAGTACACTATCTCACCACCCTATGTGAAGTTGAATCCAAAACCCCAATACCTTACAATGTACATAATAATGTTTTTAAGTTGTTGATTTGCAGCGAAACAATCTTAGCTCTTCTCCAAACCAATAAACTTAAGATTAATAGTTATTTTAAAGTAGAAATTTTCTCTGAAGCATGTGTTTTCCATGTCTCATTATTGACTCAAGTGTTTTGAGTGCATGACGTTTCATGACGTCCAACTTGTGTCCGTGCGTGTTCGTGTGTTTATGTCTACTGATTTACCAACTTCTAGACATTATCATTTTCATGTGTAAATATAATTTATTATCGTTATCTGTTTAATTATAAATGCAGTTTCATTTAATCGCTAAATTAATTTAGATGATTTAATTTTTTTTTACCGCATAAACTGTTTACTTAATATATGTGTTGATGTCATAGAGCATACATCAGAATCATAGTTGAATTATTTGGTTTAATGAAAAAGACTACAATCTTATGATCACACTGGATAATTGTTGAGCTGTGTAACGAATGAACAGACATGGGAAATAAGTGGGCAATCCTAATCGAGATTCCTGTAGGTGTAAAATATTTTGTTTACTATAAAACTTCAAAATTCTGCTTTCAATCGTTGGTTTACAGAACCAAACACTAGTGTCCCTAAACTAGGACCAAAAAGTTATCCTAAAGTTTCTTTTGTTTTGTTTTTAGTGGTCAATTTTTTTGTTGTATTGAAAACTTCAAAGCTTTCCAGGGAAATCATTGAAAATATACTGTCAGATAAGAAATTCTTAATAATTCATCTAGAAAATTATTCTTAACAATGTTTGTTTGAACGATGTAACATAAACTTTCATTAAGACACAAAGTACTTTTAACTTCATATGTCAGTTTGTGTGGTTCATCTGTGTTATGCATTGATTCCATGCTTGCGTTCTATATCGGTTTACTTAATTTTGTTTTGTTTAATAAAATTAATGATCCAAAACTTTAACTTTTATAAAATGTGTACGATACACTGAGTTTTTTTTGTTCTACCCATTTGATTACTTACTATGAAGGGATTTTTTTGTTCGAAAGAGAAAAACAAAATACACAAGTTTTAAACGAAATACTGTTGTAGACTGTCAAAATCTGATTAAGATGTTGGCGTTAAAATTGTCTGTTAAAATAGATTATTTTGTTTTTTGTTTTTTGAATATTCGTCCATTTCATTTCATTTACTTGTCTGTTTGTTCAGCTTACATTGAGATTGTCTTTTGTTTGTTCAAGGTCTTATCATCATCATCATCCGATTACTTAATTTATTTAACGCTATCTTGTCTAGTTAGATGACATATTTAAATAGGTAACTTGGTTTGTTTTTTTTTTTAAGAATTCCTTTATGTGTTATAACCATACAATTTTTTTTTCAATTAAGAAATACTTCAATGTTAGTGGACAATTCGATAAAATCCATAAAAGCGTGCAATATGTTGTAGTCCCCTCTATGTGCAGAGTTCCTAGCACACACACACACATGTTCATCGAATGAAGAGCAGAAAGTGTAAAAAAGATGTACTACCCATTTTAGATCACTGGTGCTTTCTTTTTTTCTTCTCTCTCTCTCCCTCTCTCTCGAAATCACAATGTATTAAACGAAACGAAATAAAAACATTTTGCTTGTCTTTCATTGTTCATTTTTGTCATAATGATTAATTAGATTTGTTAAATATTATAACATGTACATATATATAACTTGATATTGTTCTTTTTAAGTCTTTACTATGCTTTTTCAATGAATGTAAGTACCACTGACAACCAGTAAACATTGTACATATGTTGCCTCGTAGTTTAGAAGTCTGTTTCAATGCACGACAATGACTTCATCAGGAGTCTTTATTTTGAGGAATCCTAGAATTGGACAAAACAACCGTCTTATGCTTTTTAGAGTAACCTAGAGTAAATCCATGATATACGCAACGAAATTTAATAATCTTCACGATACTAATAATGGTGATAGATCATTGTCTCCTTGCATGAAGTTACTACATAAACTGAAGAAATACCGACGGTTTGCTTTGATATGATACATTGTTTAAGTAGATAAGTTCACCTCTTTTCCAGTCATTTTTACTATCCATAAGGATCTGTATGATATGTTGACCACTGTAAAGCCTTATGTTCAGATAGTTAGTTTACTAACTCTTTTCCCTCATTTCCGTCGTATTTAAAAAAAATTTATCCACGAATCTACACATGGATTAACACATGGAATTTCTTTAATTATAGTTTGGTTCATAATATACATATATATATATATATATATATATATATATATATATATATATTACAGTGATGTGCTGAGAAGTCCCAAATTATTACTTGGACAGTTTCTAGAGGCCCAGAAATGTCAGGAAACGTTGCATCCAATCATTTAAAAATACAAGCTTCTCGGAAATATCTAAGAAGTAGGGAGTCACATGTCACGTTACTCATTGATTATTTATCTATACTGCTAATAATTTACCATGTTTCCCGAAATTTCAATAAGCCCAAGGTCGTGTGTAGCTCTATAAATACCCTCCTTTCTCTGTACATAACGTAACCTTCGAGTAAAGCTTATTCGCATAAAATGAACACAAATTTCAAATATGAAGCAGATTTTTGCTGTGATTTTTATTCTCATTTTTACTCTACTACTCATTGCCACATTCTACTCACAAAATCAATTTTAAATATAGTATTTCTCCTTAGCCTCATAAAATATTAGTGATTCGTAAGTAAATTATGATTAGAAAATAATTAAACTGGTCTTTTTCTTTTCACTATCATCTAATACAATTAACTAGACAAATCTGTAAACAATTACATTTATTAAAGTACTTTCAAATGAATGATTCATACCAGTCAAAGTAAAATATCATCTGTTTATGAAATTGACAGATCGTATTTCAGTCCATTCAATTATTAAGGTAAGAGATTAATCATTAATACGACTGAGCCGAGATAGTATGTTGTCAGCTTATCGTTTTATTCCTTGATTTCCACACACACACACATTTATGTACATATACATTGTCATTTTGTAACCTTTAAATAAATCACCTTGTTATTGATAAATAAAACTTATGATTCGCCTGATTCGATTGTTTTCCAAAAGACCATCAATTATTGATGTGTTTGATTAGATATTTAGTGACCAATTAAAGTGAACTTCATAAAAAGCATTATATAATTTCTTCACTGGGAATTCCCAAGTATTAGGAACATAAACAATTTTTAAGTTAAACTATCAAGTTGAAATTCACTGCCAAGACGTTTTTCATCTAAATATCCTCATTCTCAATCGAATTCATGCTGTATATTTTCATGAATTTCCTCTCTTCAAGTTCAACTATCCTTCGTTAGTTGAAAATAATTGTTTAGGAGTGTTTCCATTATGAATGAATACAGAATAGATATTTTGTTCTGTTTTTTTTTCTATTCATTAAACAACTCTGTTGACAAAATCTAAGTTCAGGAAGAAAAACTGTTTATTTCTGTCGGTTATTTGTAAGCAAGCAGTTCAGCAATAACATGAAGCTGACTGCTTCCTTGTGTTTCATTTTATTCATGCAAATAGAACGTCGTCTAGTCTATTATTCTTTATGCTTTCAATTAATTCTTTGGTGTTTTCCTTTTGCATAGGTGATTTATGGCTTCAAAAACCATTGGATTATGAACAAACATCAGCATACTTTTTAACTATTGAAGCACGTGATCGTGGTCAACCTCCATTGAGTAGTACAGCTGTGTTAACTGTTCATGTGGATGATGCTAATGATAATCAACCACAATTTTTAGGTAGACAACGAATACCGGAAAATATTGGTTTAAATAAACTCGATAGTCTGACATTTGTTGATTTAGATTTTTATCAATATTACTATGCATTCAGTGTGGTGGAGAATAGTCGTAATGGTACTGTTGTTGGCAAGGTAAGTTTGTTGTGTTCTGGAAGTGTAATAACAGTTTGTTTGAATAATACAAAATGATAGTTAATGTTTTATAAACATGAGTAAGAATTAGAATGACATAGAATATTAAGAGCGAAATTTCATAATTATTGCCTTTTTAATTATAAAATCTTGATATTTTAATAAAACTGATTTCAAATGTGTAGAAACACAAAACCTCCAAAACTCTGCCCGAAAATATCATAACAGTGCTCACTAGTGACTAGCTTCATGAGGAAATTCTCGGAGTTCTAGTTGAGAAGACGTGACTAATGGAGTTCAACCCTGTCGGGTGTAGGCAGTAACTGCCAAAGAAAAATAGGTGAGGTCGCGCAAAATCCGTAGATCAATCAGAGTTAGACATCGCTCAGTGGTCTACCGGTTAGGGCGTTCGCGCACAATACCGAAGGTCCTGGGTTCGAATCCTGCGAGGTGCAGGAGTCGTGGATGCGCACTGCCACTGATGAGTCCTATACCAGGACGAAACGGCCGTCCAGTGCTTCCAGGTTTCTAATGGTGGTCTACAAATGATCGGTTGATGATTTCAAACGTGTGGATAACATTTCTCTACTGTTGCCTATCTTACTACTGATCAAATACACTTTTGCATACTTAGCTCAGAGCTGCACTATAAGTATGAACTAAATGATACTATTCGAATATGCTGTTTAATCGCTAAAAGTCGGAGTCTCTTAACTATTGAATCACCGGTTGACTGAATCAGCTTGGTTTTACATCGTCTTTGATTGTGTCAACACTAAGTGTTAGACAGGTATTTCTCGTAGTCAGATCTTACGTTATTAGCACGTAGTCATCATGTTTCAGTTTATTTTCTTATAATTTCTACTTTCAATCCAACTTCATATTATTCTATCTGTTTACTCTTATTTATCACAGTTTAATGCAATTGATCCAGATAGTGGTGATAATGGGCGTATAAGCTTTCGTCTAGGCGACAATGTTGATTTCTCCACTTTATTTGAAAATTACCAACAAGATTCCGAAAATATAGAATTTTTAACTATCACTGAAGCAAAGAAACGTTTTAGTTTGGATTCAGAATCTGGTCGATTATTACTAGCTTTCCAACCGGATCGTGAAGTAGTTAGTGGTTATTGGTTAGTTGTACAAGTTGAAGATCATGGAAAACCGAATCCTTTATCCAGTTTTACATTAGTTTATGTACAAATATCAGATATGAATGATTGTGCACCGACCTTTGAAAAGTCTAATTATGAATTTTATGTTGAAGTAAGCTGTTTTGAACTTTTTCTTTGAACCTTAATTTGTCTAAATCTTCAAAGGCTTTATCAGTAATATATATATATATATATATATATATATATGGTTTAATTTGTTTAAGACGGTAATATTTTTTGGACAATTTGAGAAACTTACCATTTTTTTTCAGGAAATAGGTTGTTATGTTGTTGAAATTTAAAGAAAAGAACTAAACTTCGGAGACTTTTTATGCGTTTATACTGGATGCGTCAATTAGGGTATGTGTCACTCACATAAAAGTACCTGCCAGCAGAACTGAATAACACTAAATTTAGCATAAGTAAATTTAGAAGGAATATAATGTTGACTATACGAAGACATGGGTTTTGGTCTGGCCGCCCCTAACTTTCTTCCAACTTACTCCTACACCACAAAACATAGCTCATCGTGGCAGTCGGTGGTTGGGCATACACAACACATATCTTAACCACCTCAACTGATGAAGTTTCACCACGAAATCTCAGTAGTCTCTCGAGTTTACATTTCAAATAGTTTTTTTTTTAATAATAAATTCGTCTAAATGTTTGCTTATGGTGGATTTTATTTATATCATATTTTCAATGACTAATCACTGATAATTAACAAACGATAACACAGTTGACTAATCTTATATAAAAGTTAAAAGTAATTGGTTCCTAATGCGGGACTCCGCATCAGTCCACATCCACGTATTTATCGATGTACTAAAGAGTCCCATAACTAGTATGAAATAAATGTTCATTTATTCTTAGCTTTCAATGATAGTCAAACTGACATCAATGCACAATGTAAACAATGAAATCCTACAGTCTCTTCAACCCTGCTTTACTAATAATTTGATTTATATTTGGTAATTTTGATAATTTTCGAATATTGATCTTTTTTTAAAAAAAATGAAACATTGACTAACTGCTACTCTTTTCTGTATTTCCCATTCTGATGAATATTTAGGTTGATCGGTCAGGTAATATAAGTGCGTGTTCCGAGAGACAAGTAAGTTATTCTTTTGTTGATGTAAATTTTTTCTCTAAAAATAGTTTTCCTCTAAATAATAAATGCATTTTTATTATTATTTGGGTAACTACTACTATCAGTACATCTGTCTTCCTAATATTATCAACTCCTACTTTTGCCTATTATGTGTAGTGACGTAATCTGTTTCATTTCTTTGTGACTATTGACTCATAAATTGCCTTGATGATTGGTTTAACATTTTCATACAAATATTCATGTATATTCGAGAGTAAAGCCTGATGACGATCTAATCGAAAACAATATTGTTTGTTTGCAACGAATACTTCTCGTTAACATTGTACATATCAAGTTGCTTGCATTAAATTAAATCATACATTTTAAAGAGGTGAGTGTTGAGTTTCGATTTTATAGGGCCCCCCCCCCCATTGTAAACAAACATGATGCAATCGAAGTATTTTCAACTGTCTCAGAACAACAGCCAGCATTTTCATTGTGTTTCTTAATAAACTGTGTAATTTCACAAGGAACATGTATGTGTGCATATCTCTACATAGTTTTCAAATCAGTTCACATTTATTTTTGAATTATCTTGTATTTCTCTATTCTGTCATAACTATTCAACTTTAAGTTATAATAAAGTACTCTTTGAGAGTTTCATGAAAGTGGTCTGCGGTACTGTTTAGCACCTTCTACTTTTAAGTATTATTACTGTATCTGATCAATTACTTACTCAGCAATGTGTATTCATTATATGGAGAAAATTGTTTACGAATTCAATTCTATCTGAAGTTATCTAGTATTTTTCCCTTGTGAATCATTGTTATTATCTCTCTCACTACTGAACAGTGATAAGAATGATGATAGCTGTTGTCAATTTTTTGTTTGAATTTAGAAAATGAGAAGATAAAGAAGAGTTTTAATAAAACTATACAACTTATGCCCGTACCTTTCTCCTCTTCTGTTTCCTCCTTTCTCTCTCTTTCGTGTTCTATTGATGAAATAGACGACAACAACATGTTTCTGTCTTCATTTCCCTATACTTCAAATACTTTGAGTAGATATTGTCAGTAAAGTTGACAAGTCGTATAACAACCAAAGATGAGAAAAGTACATGAGAGCTGACAGTGGTTCATTATACATAAACATTACAGTTGAAACATGGCAATATAATGCTGAATGAAAGTCGCATTATCTCTCTACATCAAAATAGCGAATACACAATTTCGACGTTTATCATAAGGAAAGAGAAGGTAGTGCTAAATAAATCTTTTATTTTCTTCACAGTATTCACAAATGAAAAATATGAATCTAAATCTTATGTGAATCAATAGGACTTTTCTTCTATATATTTAACTATTTGATTTTTATGTTGTTGAAAATTCTTATCTCATGGATAGCTTCTAACTTTTTCATGGATACCTTTCATTCAGTTTTATAGTTTGAAAAAGAAACATTCGTCAACCTTTTCGTGATTTATTCAATAAAATATTTTTTTTTATTAAATCATGAGATAGAAGAGTAGTATAGCTGTAGATTTTGTAAAATATGAGTGAAAGTTATCATTTTAAATGAAATATCAGATGGTCAGTGATTGAAAAGTAACTAGAGAATACTAAGGCATTTGTGTTAACTTGTTCATCATCAAGTCTACACAGAAGAAGTCAAAATCTAATGCGAATTATATATTTGTACTTTTTATTAGTGTATAGTATACAATGAACACATTTTATGTCCTCAGTGAAATTGCCTCATCATTTTCAACCTTAATGAACTTTACAAACAATGAATTTTCATTAGAACATCTTGATTTATTCAACTTTTTTTAAAGATGAGAACGTGATTAATATCAGTTAAGAATATATTTAGTGTCCGATAACATTTTATTTGCTAAAAGAGTTTCTGTTTAAATTTTTAAAATAAAATAGGAGATTTATTGACTAATCATCTCACTTCCGTTTGTTCTTATAACTGCTTCTATGTAAATATTATTACACTTGTCTATCAGTTTCACGAATACTTACTTACACATTGATATTTGAACTTCATTCATTCAACATGAATATATCATCATGTTATCAATCATTTTGAAAGTGATCCTTACTGGTCTGAATAACATTTTAATTTTCAAACTGAATCCCAGTGAATCGGTGTTATAAACAAGTGTAAACCAATTAACCGAATGGCTGGAGATAGTTGGATTCATTCTGAAATTACTTTTTAAAATTTGATCTTAGCATACACAAATGGCGTTTTAATTCCCCTGCCATTCGATATTCTGTAAAATGACGCATCACAATAAGTTTACCATTAAGTATTATCAATTAGTAGTATGTGACTCCATTGATTTGAATATTAAGTTCATTAATTAACTACATTATTACATCATTCTTCGAAACACATGAGCTCTGCAGCATATTTTATTTCATGTGATCAATACTCCGAGGTGTATGTAGGTTTTCACCTCTCTTCCTTAGTTAACATTCCAGAGATAGAAAAAAAAAACAACAGATTTACTATGTGCATGTTTTTCTCTTGTTATCTTAAAACTCTTCTTTAATTAAACATCTTTCGAATATTTTCAAGTAGTGTTTTAACTAACTACTTTTGTAAAAATTTTTTATATATCTGTCTCTGTGTTTATATATATATATATATATGTTTGTAAACCATTGTGTCTGAAACGAAATTATCTTAAGTTGAGAGAGAAAATTGTAGAAGACATGTTTGTGAAATGAAATTTTAAAATATACGGATTTCCATTTTTAAGTGGTTATCAGAATCGGTATATGTATACGGGTTGTTACCTTTACAAAAAAGTAGTTTTTTTACGAAATATAATCGTCGACCAAGAGATAAGTATGTATATATATATATATATATATATATATATATAACCTGTGAAGTTAGATTTAAGGAGTGCCAAGCCCATTAACTTTCTGTATTCTTCCTTAGTTGTTCATAAAATTGTAAACTGTTTATTTCCACTTTGTCTATTATTATAGAGTTCAGATGAAAATCACTGTCAACCTACTTCTTCCAGTAGTGGTAATGTTCTTATTGGTCGGCTAAAATTGACAGATGCTGATGCACATCCTAATTCCGGTCCATTTACATGTCAATTAGCTAATTCTGGTATTATGCAAACTATTCTACATGATTCATTACCTTCTTCGAAATCAAGTGCTACATCAGCTATTACTTATACTACTAGCAGTAGCAGTAGTAGTAGTTTATTTTCTGTTCGTACTAATGATAAGAAAATTCATAAATCCACTTCAAATACAAATGATCATGTCAACAATGAAACAGATTTTAGTAGAGGAGAATGTTTACTCTATGCAATTGACAAACTACCTGTAAGTTAATAATAAGTTATGGTCGAGACATTCTTAACCATAATTCCTCAAAGTTTTATTTTACTAATGCCTATTGTACATTCATCAAAAAGATGATTGGCGACTACATAAATAGCTTTTTACCTATTCTATATATATATGTATATGAATTGATTTTAGTTAGAATATAAATAAGAACCCAGGAACTCTGAATAGTTATTTCATCTTTGTTAAGAACTTTACAAATTTGTTTAATTCAATATTTTTATTTGTTGGGGACGCTAGAGCCTCGGAACTGACTTGGAAAGGTTCTAATTTTATAATTTATTCCTTAAATTTTGAATTTCTATGTTTTCGCGTCAAAGACGCTTAGTTGACATCCTGCTTACAAATCGTACTCAGACAATCCTTGACTGTCATTGGTTGATGGGTTATTTTAGTAGGCTATTTCGTGGCTTCCCCATGGGCGTTGCTATCATTGTATAAATAAGCTTGATTTTTTTGCTTAGCAACCTCTAAATTTCTGAGTGCTTGTAGAATACATTCCGTACTTCACTGCATCATTTATCTACTCTGTGTTTACCGAGTAAGGTGAACTCGTAATAGTTTCAAGCATATCAATATTTGACTTTAAATTCATAGATTAACTTGAATAGTTTAACCAATTATTCCCTGTAGTGGTTTACTTATATTGTTCTCAATCTTCACGTATTTCACGAAAATTGATAGATTTTTACAAAAGTAAAGACTTTGTTGGTGTGTTCATTCAGAACATTTGCGATTCTTCTGTTTACAAATATCTTTTAATCACTGATACTTCAGTATATGAAATAATTATTTGTAAACTAGACTGGTAACCTTTCTCTTTCAATACCATAGTATTCGACATGACTTCTTGATATAAATACTCAGCGTTTATCGATAATCTCAAAGTTTTCTCTGTATAAGTCTTCGTTATATACTTTGTCTTTGATTCAGCGCCGTTGTTATGTACCCGGTATTTGACTAGCAAAATATTTTCTCTACATCTATGTGAATTTATTAGCTTATTACCATGTATTATGTTGAATTTTTTTTTATGTCAATGTGAAACTTACAAAATAATACTTTTTATTACATCATAGGTTGGTAGTCAAAGTTTAGTGATCCGAGCTAATGATAATGGTTTAACTGCACTACATACAACAACTACAGTCACTGTTCGTGTTATTCGAATGTCTAATCTACCACCAGAGATTGTCAATACAAATTCAACATTAATTTATTATCGTAGTTTACATGATAGTAATATGAATTACTTTCCTGCATCATCATCATCCTCTTCAAAATACGATATCTCTGATCAAAATTCTGATAAAACTATTGGTCGAATAACAGTAAAAGATCGTACAGCTCATGATCGATTGTATTTTGAATTATTGAATGATAATACATCCACATCGAATTTATTTGTTGTTGATCAATATGATGGAACTATTCGTCCTGTTATGAAAAGATTATCTCATTCAGTTACAAGTCATTCTAATCTATATGATGCGTCAAGTAAACCAGTAATCAATCAATTTCATAATTCATTATTTCATCTTGACTCTGGTAGTTATCCATTACGTGTACGTGTCACAAATGGTACACTTGCTTCTGAAGCAACAATGCATATCAAAGTAAGTTGTGATATTTCTGTTTCTCCATATATGTATATATACAGATTTACTAGTTTTATGAGATCACAAGTAATATAAAGTAGCCCTTATTATTACTATTGTTATTATTATTATTATAAACGTTTCGCAACAATTACTAACTGTAGACCAACTGATTCACTAACCAATTGGTAATTTAAAGATGCCTTTATTTGGTTATCTATCCAAAATGGAACATGTGAGCATTACTTAAGTTTCGTATTTAGACGACCGAGTAAGCAATGCTATCGTTAGGAAACAAGTTCTAGGTAGGGGTGGCAAATCAATAGATGAAGCATTGAAACTTCATCAGTTGAGGTGGTTGAGACATGTGTTACGTATGCCTAACCACCGACTGCCGCGACGAGCTATGTTTAGCGATGCTGGAGTAGGTTGGAAAAAAGCTAGTGGCGGCCAAACCAAAACATGGCACAAATCCATGAAGTCACTGACAAGTGGACTGAGTCATGTTGGTAGATGTAGGCTATTTGGTTGGTGTCCGCGAGACGAAAGTCACCGATGGTTAGAGACCTTGAACGACATGGCTCAGAATCGTTTGCAATGGCACATGTGCACCCACTTTTTGTGTTCTCTCTAATTCTAAATTTCTGAATTCATCACAATCTCTGTCTTTCTCCTTCTTAATTTATCTTACTGAATTATACTTCTCGAATCATATCTTCGCTCTCTAATCTTCTCCATTATTGCGTATACTTCCACTATCGCTATCACTCTAAGATTTGAACTGACATTTGTGTCTCTGTGCTGATGTGGTATGGCTACCCAAACTGATGTACTTATATACGAAGTTCTGCGTTGTATCTGTCTGTCTGTCTGTCTGTCTGATATGTGAACATATTAATTTCTGTTCAAATACATTTATTTCCACTGTTTACACTCTTCTATTGGAAATAAAGTACATATTTCCTATATGGTCTTGTATACATTTCTATTTGAATTCTATTTCTCACTAAAAATAAATACAATATGGCAAGTATTAGATGTTCAATATCATTCTGTAATTGGTTACCGAACACTTTTTTTTCTATATATATATATATATATATATATATATATATATAAATGAACAAAAGAATCCAATAAATTTTTGACTTTTACTAAAATTCAATTGAACAAACTTCATTCACATATTGTTCTTGCAATATTGATAGTTGTTCTATTAATGCTTGAATAAATAAAATCTCTTCAGGATCATCATCATCGTCATCATCGTTATCATCATCTTATATATATTGCCCTTTTCTACTTGAATAAATTCAATTTATCAATTGTTATAAATTTATTGATATAATTAATTAGTCGACTGGTTGATTGATTTTTTTACTTCGGCATCGATTTCCTTTCTTTCTTTACTGTTCTTTTCCTTGAGATTGACTTTTCTTTTTTTTTCTTCTACCTACCTCAAGAACTTTTCTGTGTTGTTGTTTTTTTCTCTTTCTAAACCATAAAACGCTTCGTCAATATTTTATTCAATTGACTGTAAATATGTGTACAAGTGTGTACAAGTAATTTAAACGTTTACGTGATTAACATTCTAAATTTAAGATTAGTGTTGTTTTTTTGTGTGTGTATGGTAAATTTTGTACTAATCTGTGTACTACTTCTTGATGCATCATTCTATAGGAAACAAACTAAATTGAAAAGTTTGAGAATTCTGTAAAAAACATTAAGTTGGAGAAACCATATCTCATCATTGTAATGATCGATTTAAATGATCAGCATAGCGATTATTACTTTTATTAGTTTTGTTCTATAGACATTTATTAGTTTTCTTAGCTTATTATTTTTTGAAATGATGACTTTCAACCAGTAAGTTAAAAATTAAGACGCTACTTCCCCTGCTCTGATTTTGATAGCTAGGTGGTAAGCATTATTATTAACCCTCATTGTAATATTGTAACTCAAAACCGCGTAAATGAATGTAGGTAAGTTATCCATCATTACTATCAAAATCCATAGCTCAACAACTAAACCACTGGCAAGTTCACAGTTAATTGTATTCAGTTTAATTTAGACAGCTTAGTTGTATTATCGGTCCTAGCCACACACTGGCACATGAAACGTTTAATTCAATGCTGAATACATAAACCTGTACTTTGTAAATGAGCTACATTATTTATCAGTCTTGATATTGATTCATTGGTTTTCATCAGTATTACTTGGTGCAAAATATCAATGTCACGCGTAGACATCCATTTTGTGCTTACTAGTACATGGAACGGTCAAATCTATACAAGTTTCTAACCGGTAGTTGTTGACTACCTGGTTGGGGTCCGCGAGATGATAATAATCGATGGTTAGAGATCCTGAATGATATGACTCAAAACCGTTCGCAATGGCGCAGGTGCATTTATTGTCAGTGTTCTCTCAAATCCTAATCTTCTGGATTCTTCAACACCTCTATTTTTGTCTTTCTAAACTTTTCTCACTAAATCATATTTCTTGAATAATCTCTTCTAATCCTAACCTCTCCGATTACTTCTAATACCTTTACTACCTCTTCTACTATTGGATTTGAATTGACAAATATATCTCTGTGCTGATATGGTGTGGCAATATGAACCGATGTACTTACGTACGACGTTCTTCTTTGCATCTGACTGACTGACTGAACCAGATCAGCTGTTTTTTTCGAGAATACAAATATGAGTAAAATTCTATTTCAAATCGGTAATTCTACATTAAGCGTAATAGAAAAGCATTAATAAAATACAGATTGTTTTTTTTTTTAAAAAATAATTGGAAAACATTTATCATATAGATGTGACCTCTCGTTTTAAAATTATTCCTTTTAAATAGCCATAGTTACAATCGGATATGCATGTTCCTTTAATAATTTCAGACATTCTTAAGCATTGAGTTTATCTGATTAATTTTCTGTTAAAATAAATAAGTAAACCAAATGTACAGTTCCAGTTAGTTTTGTGTTTTTATTTATCCTGTTTACAATATATTTTCAATTCCATTCAACATGTAATAATTCTTATCTGATTTATTAAATCATAATTAGTCATACATTAAAAAGAAACGGTTTTATTCATGGCATCTTTTACCACTCACTACCACTCACTACCACTACTACTACTACCGGTTATTATCTGTTTATTTGTGCATTTCAAATAAAGTACTGCTGTGCCATGATATATGTGTATATGTGTATGATGTATGTGTAGTCAATTGGAACTGATAGATGCAGAGTTGAAAAAGAAAATTAGTTAATATATATATATGCGCATACAATAATAATCATCATAAATGTCACCATGATTGAATAATGCCTTGCACTTGTACACTGCCATTTAGAAAACAAATCATCCGTATAATTACTATAATAATAATAATAATAGTAATTATTATTATGATTATTATTTGAAATTAGGTTAACTAGAGCGATAGAGTCTTTTTGCATTCACCTTCATTGCATTATTTTACTGTTGGAATGCTGATATTTGTGTTGAATAGTGCTAAAGATAATAGAGTGATGATTCAATGTATTGCAAATAGTTTCTTTTTCTATGTAAAGTTGTTAGTAAAAGAAAGAAAAAAAACACATACATCTGTTTTAGTGTGCTTAAAACTGGCTAAGATTTGTTACTACATTTAGTGTGCTACTGTTGTGAGCTTGAACATTCTGCAATCATTCATAATTTTCTGTAATATAGTGTTTTTTAAACTATTACTGACGAGGCTATTCAAGCTGGACATTTTGGTTCCTAAATGAAATGTCTGTCTACATAATAATCCTGTATGGTCACCGTACCATTTCAATGAAAAACTAGCGAACAGCTATGTGACACTGGACACCTATTCTGTTATACGTATTCTTCTTCATTAGTTGTACAAAATTGTTTGAACAGAATCGAAAAATATTTTGATGAAAGTACTAAATAAACCATATCCTACTGTCAGTGTTTGCCAATAAATATATTTTTAAGTTCTCCTTTCGAATCTTTAAATTTGTTTGATGAAGCTCTGGCTTATTTGGTTGATAATTCCCATTTACCCCCTTTCTATTATCCACTTTAGTTTTGATAGACTTAAAAGTATTACTAGCGTTCACAAAAAAGTATCATAACCCCATAGTTAAATACAAATACCCTACTTTCGGTTTTTGAATTACATACTTAACTGTTACACTTATTTCGAGTTGTGTAGTTATTTGATGTATATAGTGTTAAATTTCCACTTACACATTGTTTCTCTCTTGACCGTACTAGATGTTTGTGTTTTCGTAAATTGAATCGCTTACTAATTCCGACTCTATGGTCTAGAGATTAAGCAAGCATTCGCTCATGGAACTGAATTAGTACTGACTTTGATCCCAAATGGCGGTGTCGTGAATGCGCACTACTGATGAGTCTCATATTAGGACAAAGCAACTGTTTAGTGCTTGCTAGTTTTCAATTGTGGTCTAATTGAAATCATTCAACGATTTAAGCTTGGGAAATATAACAATCTCCACAATCCTCTGTACTAATAATTCTGTTGTTCATATATTATTATACATTCACTGATACTAAAAGCTTCACTCACTCTGTTTTCACTTTGTAACACCAAAACTCAACTATGACTTCCGTATACCTACTTAGTATGTCCATGCAAAATGGAGTTTATTTATATTGTGATTGCTTATGATTTTCAAACTCAAGAGTAAATGTGCCTAGCAATAGTCATACAAGATAAACTTTCCACTCATCTTCAATCATTGGTTAATCGATCTAGTAATAGTCATAAGACTAGTTCTCATTGTTTATCCATAGAACACTAGTCTCTGTTTAAATGCTGATAAAAATAAAGCAAACAACAGTTAGGCAATACGTATTTACCTACTTTTTTTTCTTCAAAATCTCTAGTTGAACGTTTGGTAAGAGTATAGCATAGAAACAAATTAGTTCTTAACCAGTCATATAATAACTTTTGTAATTGGATAGTTTTTGCAAATGAATACAATAATATTATAAAGAGTAAATAGACTTTACACAAGTTAATCTATCAGTAAATTGAAATAACAACGATGGAGATGGATTATTCTTACTTCTTGAACCCTTAAAATGCACTAAATTGATTTTTAAGAATCTCTATACTGTTCTTCGTTAGCGTAATGATCAATAGTTTGAAGTTTAAGCTTTCGCCCACAAACTGATGTAAGCTATAATGTGAAATTGCTTTTTAGCCAACTAGATAAACGAAAATGTAAAAAGTGCTATCTGATCAATTTAATATTGTGCCATCAGCTTAAAGTTTGTTTCCGGATTAACGGCTTAAGTTTGGCTTTAGAGTTAGTGGTGATTCGCATTTTATATACGATTTACATAAGCAAGACTGAGCACTTGATATAGTCAGCACTATCATTTTCACTCTGTGGTGAACAAGTAGTAATTTTCACAGTCATTTCATACGGAGATCATGAATGAATCATTGTTAGATAACCATTAGAAACTTGGAAGCACTGGACAGCCGTTTCGTCCTGGTATGGGAATCACCAGCTGTGCGCATTCACGACTCCTGCTACTCGTATTATTCGAACCCAGGACCTTCAGTCTTGTGAGTGATCGCTTAACCTCTACACCACTGAGTCGGCATCCAAAGGTGTTGATGTCTAACTCTGATCAATCTAAGGATTTTTGCGCAACCTCACCCATTGTCTTCAGTAGTTACTGCCTATACCCTACAGGATTGAACCCCACTAGTCAACTGTTCTTACTAGGACTCTTAGAATTTCCTCACGAAGTTAGTCACTAGCGAGCACAATTTAAACGTTTTTTAAGCAGTATACGTGACATTTTAATCCCGCACAAAAATCTAAAAGTTGCATCCTCAGTTTTAATTCTCACATTTTTGTTAATATATAACATTTTTTTTGTTCTGACAACAACTTCGTAATATTTCTTTTTCAACTTTATCATTTCAGGTTATAGCTATAACTGAAGAAATGCTTGACTCATCATTGGTAATTCGTATTTCAAATCTGCTACCAAATTTATTCTATATGGAAAATTATAATACTTTATTACAAAATCATTTATCTAGCCTACTTTTAGAATCAAATTCATTATATTATCAAACATCAAGTTCAACCAAGAATAATTCTTTACAAGATGATAATGTTTATATTCTTTCTGTACAAGAAACAGATTTTCCCAATCGTCTTAATCCTCATTCATCCTCATCATTATCATCGTCGTCATCTTCCTCTTCGTTTGCATATCATCAACAAAATACATTCATCAAATCGCATCGTAATAAACGTAGTCTTGATAGAGCTGTTGATATTCTTATTGCAGTATATGATCCAAAAGAAAGAGAATTTATTAAACCATCTAAAATTGCTCAAACTATTAATGGAATAGCTGATCGTTTATCTGTGGAATTCGGTGGAGAAATTGAAGCTATACATGATGTTTGTACACCACAGGTTTGTAATTTATGCTATTTATGCTATTTTATTCACTAAGTGTGTTTTGTTAATCAAATTATTATATTCAGATGTGCAGCATAATACTTGTGTAATCACTTAAATATCGACCCCTGTATGCATAATCTGTTGTCATATTAAGTTGCTGGCAGCTCAGAAGAGGCTGACTTTAACTGAACTGATCTTATTTAACCAATCATGGTAAACCACCATTTACTAGATATCTGTCTTGTCCTAGTATTAAATTTCACAGCCTCACTGGCGGTTGAACTTCAACACAACGGACACTTAACCTTGAAACCACTGAGCCAGTACCTTATGGTGAACAATCTAAAGAAAACAGTTTTTTTTTCACCATCGAAGAATATTTTGTTAGCTATGGGAATACAGATCATTGTTTTGCTACTACAGATATGACCATTGTTTCGACTGTTTTTCATTTCAGTAATCTTAATTCTAAATCATTGTGGTTTTTTGTTGAGGATGTTAGATCCCCCAGAACTCGCTTGATAAATATCTTTATTTTGGATTTATTTCATGAACCGATCAGTTGACCTTGAGATCATATTTCCCACCAGGGAAATCCTTGGCTGTGATTGGTTACTGTATCATTTTAGTGTGCTATTTTTGTGACTGTCCCAATGACTTCATTATAGAGTATAAAAAACGCAATTCGAGTGCTTGGATTTATTGTGTGCTGGCTGGGTGTTTGTAGAATACACTTTCTACGCTATATTAAGACTTGTTGCTGATACGTTTTGGTCAAGGGATCACAGTAGCCTACCTGGACGCTGGTTCATTGTTTCGTTCTCGTTATTTGACTAAGATGAACTTGTAATAGTTTAAGCACATACCTAACAGTTTCATGAAAGTGATTTGGATTTTAATCTTTTCATGGAAAATTCTTGAAAGCTATTCCTTCAAAATAAATCATTTATTCATTAAACTAATCGGCTAATTCCATCAGTGTCTAGTTCAATTTACAAGTATGGAGTTTTGATAGAGTCACTGTAGTATTAATTTAAGTTTCATGCTGTCCAGTATCTGTCATTATTGAATTAAAAAAAAATTTATCTCATTATCGAATTTTAATTAAAAATTGTAAATTAACTTTATCTTCAGTAGTCGGTAAATAAATTAGCGATACTGTGCATATGGGAAATATGTGAACAGTTTTGAAAAAATTGTAAAAAAGAAACCCAACCCTAGATCAAAGATTCATTTTATCAGTGTGTTTTATTATTTTACGCTATAGAACTCAGTGAATCTAAAACTTCTTTCCAACTATATTCACTTTTTTTTTTCTCAGTTTTGTCCTCGCGGTCGTTGTCATACAAAGATTACTATTGATCCGAACGGTCTTATGAATCGTATTGAAGTACATCGTGTAAATCAAGTATCACCTCGATTTGTGTTATCGCCTGTTTGTCAATGTCCAATACATTTCACTGGTCTACTTTGTAACACACCAACTGATGGTTGCGCTCTAGCCAATTGTCCCGCTTCTCGATTATGTATTCCACATGGTTTGAATGATTATTCGTGTATTTGTCCACCGCCTCGTACAGGTCCGAATTGTGAATCCATTTTAATTTATGGTGATGGTAGAGATGATTGTCATTCAGAGTCGTGTTTTAATCAAAGAGGTAAAATAAATAAATGTTATTATTTAAGATTTTATCTTCTATTTCATTTCATTTACATCTTATCAATTGATCTTTAATTGAGTGATGACCAATCTAAGGTAAATCTAGTCATTTTATTGCAATGTGACCACTGGTTTAAATGACTCAATCTCATTTACTATTTCCACATGTTAGATGATTAGAAGTGATCGAAAGGAAATCCTGGGCCTAGTTTTCAGTTCAGTCGGCACTAGTCAACAAAGCTTACTTTTAATCTCATAGAAATCGACATCATCTCTAAAGCTAGAACCCACTTCGCCCAGTTTGATATTCTGATATTTCACTACTGAGCTGTTCGTGCGGTGACTGACCTCATTTAGGACAAAGATATTTACATCTAATAACTAAATAGCTATCAATATCATGTTTGTCTAGTCTGAGTGAATAGTAGTCAGTCAATTATTTATCCATTCAACTAACTAATCCTGAATAGGAAAAAACGCTCATCCTGAATTCTAATGCTCTAGGTATAGTTTATTTATTCCTTAATTGAGAACGGTACATTTCATTTGTCTACATTAAATTGTCATTTGGATTAGTCTAGATGGGTTTTTTTTAGAAAAATTTTAGATTCGCCATTGATACAACTAAAATAAATTTACTTTAAACATATGATTGACAGTAGTTTGAAATCCGTTACAAATTTATCGAGATAACTATCGTTTATTGAAAATGCACAGCTTGTATACAAAAACATTTTTGTAACAAGTATTACATGTTTTGTTGATATACATGAACGGATCTAATCGAAAAGAAACAGATCGTTGTGACGTTTCAATAATCAATTACCAATTATGCGACTGACTAACTAGTTAAAGAGAATTAATTGAAATGCTGTTTTAGAGTGTTTCAACGTAAAGATTGAAAATAAATTTATTAAAGTAGGTAAATATTTGACAATAAGTAGACTTTATTTTGTGTACTAATTTCACCTTTATTGTCGACTAGTAAGAAATTAAAGAATTTAACTGTAACTGATTCACTAAATACTTGACTATGAACTACATTCTAAAGGAAAAGAGTGGTGACGCTATCCAGTAACCCAACTTGAATTAGACAGAGTATGGTTATAATCTTGGACTTTATGGTTGAAAGTTGAACGCCTTAACTACTGAGACATTGTGTCATCAAATAGAAGAAACAGTTCTTATGATTATTTTTCAAATTCCAATCGTATTTTTTTGTAGAGAATAATTGCTGTTTTAAGTAACGTGGTTTATTTTTATTGGCTCATAAAATTGTTAGATTTAATTTAAACTACTTTGCTAATTCCTGTGGTATGGCAACATGAACTGATGTACGTACGTACGAAGTTCTGCGTTGTAACTGACTGACTGACTGAATTCCTGTGAGTGGGTTGTTTTTTCCAACATATTTTTCGCTTCGTTTAGAAAAATCTCTTTTGTGAATGCAAGCTGTTTTATGATAATAACATAACGAGATGTAGTTAACAAGATGAACAGTAAAAGAATCGTGAACATCTACTGGTAATTTACAATGCGGAACATTAAATATTGAGAATATAATACGAAGAGATCGACTAAAAAGTTAAAAGGTTAAAGAAAACTGCAATATAAAAACAAGAGAGAATGATAAAGAGTGAATACGTTTGAACCAGGTTAGCAAACATTATTAACCATTGGTTGCAGTTATCAGCTAGATCCTAATCGGATAGTTTGCATCTACCAACTAATTGGTCGGAAGAAAGCTATGGGAGGCCAAATCGAAACATGGCAAAAATCCATGAAGTAGCTGATAACTGGACTGAGTCATGTTGGTAGGTGTCGACTACCTGGTTCGGGTCCGCAAGATGATAGTAATCGATGGTTATAGACCCTGAATGATATGGCTCAAAACCATTTGCTATGGCGCAGGTGCATTTGTGTTCTCTCAAATCCTAATCTTCGGAGTTCCTCATCACCATTGCATCTCTGCGCTAATATGTTATGGCAACTTGAACTTGTTGTACCTACGTACTAGGTTCTATGTTGTTGACTGACTGACTGACTGACCAACCAATAATTTCATAGACTGATTCGACATTGTGATTAGAATATTTAATTAGATCTTTAACACTTTTAAGCTTGCCTATTTTAGGAGAACATCCGTATGTTGGCTTTTTTGTTAAGCTATCTATCATTTATATATATATGATATATATATATCATATATATATATCATATATATATATATATATATATATATATATATATATATATATATACTAAGATTTTATTCATCATTTCCTTATGATTAATACTTCATTGTTATTAATGTATTGTGGTTCTATATTGTTTTTTGTTTAGAAAATGGACCATTACAATTTACTGGTGGAACATTTATTCATTGGGAATTTGTTAATCCTAATCCATTTTTTATGGAATTAAAATTCTCTTTTCGAACTCGACAAACAAATGGACCTTTAGTATTGATACGTTGGTCATCATTAAGAACTTTTCAATTCAGATTAACCAATAATGGACATTTGATGATTTCTGCAACTGGTTTATCTAATGGTTTACCAATAACTGATTGGTTAACGTCTGATGTATCAATTGCTGATGGTAACTGGCATCGTGTACGATTTGTTTTGACAGAGTTGAATTCATATAAAGCATCTCCTATTGATGCCTTATTTCGTGATGCATTATTGGAAGGTAATTTTATAGACTGATGCATGTTTATTAGTGTTAGCTTGAACTAAGTAAAGTTAATTAAACAGTTATTTTTATGAAACTTATAAATTTTATTGTACAAAGTGCTTATATTTTGATAGCTATTACTAGTCAAAGAGAGTAAAGGTGACTGGATAATCATACAAACTTAGAAAGTACTGTGAAATTGTTAGGTTCGTCACTAGGTACGCCTGAAGCTATTACGGGTTCACCTTAGTCGATAAACGCGAACGAGACAATGAACCAGCGTCCAGGTAGGCTATCTTGATCCGAAAGCGGCAAAACAGAAATCTTGATAAGCATTGAAATTGTATTCTACAAACACCCAGCAAGCACAATACAATCAAGCACACAACTCTCGTTTATTTATACATCACAGGAACGTCCTTGGGGCAGTCACAAAAATAGCACACTAAAATACACAGCAGCCAATCACAGCCAAGGATTTTCCTGATAGGAACTGAAATCTCCAGGTCAACTGATCAGCCCATGCTCGCAAACGTGAAATCCAAAATAAGGCATTTATCAAGCGAGTTCTGAGGATCAAACATCCCTAACAACAATAGTTTCGTTTTATTTGTCAACTTTTCAGCGTCTCACATTTGCGAATCGGTATAGGTTGAACTTACGACCTGTGTGACTAATATAAGATAAATTTAGAAACACAGGAATCCTCAATTATCAGCTTCAGTAAATTTGTAATATTGTACAATCCCTATTTAATAACATTGTTGAGTCAGTGTTGACTTTATTCAAACTTTGATTACTAATGATTAATGCCATAGTATAGTATACTGATAGGTCTTGCCATCGATACACCTAAACTGTCTTACTAGCCGCTTTTGATAACTCCAACTGTTTCTACACTGCAACTGGAATACTAGAGAGAAGGCCCGGATTTTGAGTAAAAGCTTTACTCCAAGGTTCGCTTATGTACTGGAAAACGAAGGTTTTCATGGTGTTGCACATGACCCTGAACTTCTGGAGGTTTTCGGAACCATATTAAATATTTTGGTTTAAGTAAAATTCCAATCAAAACCGTGCCACATAATTCCGCATTCTCTAGCTGTTTTTACGAGTGTTTTATTCAACGCTCATTGGATAAAACATTTTCTGGCGTTTTTGAGTCTTTATGGTCTTTGTTTGATGAAGGATATTTTTGGATTGCCCCAACATATACAGTTTCTTATTTAGTTTTAACTCCTACTGAATCAGTTGTATGTTGCTGATCGTGTTTTTTGTTCTCTTTCTCTATAAGATTCAAAAACAAAATCAAGTTCTTGGAATTCTGATTCCAATTGGTGGACTGAATTGACTGTCAATGGGATCAATCCTCAGTCTGCTTCAATCAACTGGAGTCCAGGTGATTCACACCAACAAGGGATTCTAGTTGGAGCCGATCTAATACATGGCTTTCGCCCTTTAAGTGAACCATACAAATTAACAAGTATCAACACCGCTCCTGAGAGTTATTCATTTTCTAATTCATCAAAGGTATCACCGATTGTCTTCCGATCAGGAATTGTTGGTAAGAGAATAATAAATGAATTAATTTTTAAACTTCATCTACTCAAATTTTGACTAATATCTATTTAAATGACATTTAGATTTTTAGATTGAAAAAAAACATGCATTGAATTACTAAACCACGTGATCTACGGTCTACACCATCGCGTATTTTGTTAAATGACAATCAATCATTGTAATATATCACAATAGTCATTGTCACTTTTGTACTTTTGACTAGTTTTCGACATGAGACCCATTACTCTACAAATAATCAAGTATAACTGATTTTAATATGGAAATAAGTTAACAAAACGAATATGCCAGGAACCTTAGAATAGTATTATACTATTATTGATAATAAAAAGTTGTAGTACAATACTTCTTCTTTGATTATAGGATACTTAATGATTAACATTCGTTTTTTTATTTTAGGCTGTTTTCGTGATTTCACTATTAACAATATAAAACCACCATATCAAATCAATCTGGTTCCGAAACATTCGGAAAATATTCTTGGCTTATCGTCAAATCCATCTGTATTAATTGTAAGAACGCATAAACTTGAATATGGTTGTCAACCTATCATGACAATATCTGGTTCTTGTGCATCTGGACCTTGTTTACATGGTGGAACTTGTATAACTGGTTCAAAACAATCATCTGGCAGTTCATCTTATGCATGTGATTGTCCTTCATTATTTCATGGAAGACATTGTGAACGTACTAATGATGCTTGTCTACTTGCACCATGTTACAATGGTGGAAGGTAAATTCTAATGTTAATCTGTGTTTAATTTTATAATTTATTTCGTAATTCTCTGCACTCTAAAGCACTACATTTGATATGCTAATGGTAAACTCAGAAGTGCACGTTTTCTCAGTTTACATTGTGATAAAGGATAGCAGATCAATAGATGAGGTAGTGAAACTTGATCAGTTGAGGTGGTTGGGACACCTGTTACAAATGTCCAACCACCGACTTCCTCGTCGAGCTATGTTTTGCGATGTAGGAATAGGTTGGAAGAAAGCTAGGGGCGGCCAAACCAAAAACATGAAGTCACTGACAAGTGAGTTGAGTCACGTTGGGAGGTGTAAACTACCTAGTTTGGGGTCCGCGAGATGATAGTAATTGATGGTTAGAGACCCTGAATGACATGGCTCGAAACCGTTTACACTGGGGCAGGTGCATCCATTATTTGTGTTCTCTCAAATCCTAACCTCGGATTTCCTCATCACCTTTATCTTTTTCATTTTTAAGTTTATTTCACTAGACTGTACTTCTTGAATAATATCGTCGAACCCTAATCTCTCCGATTACTGCTAATACTTCTGCTACCTCTACTACTATGGGATTTGAATTGACAATCGCTTCTCTGTGCTAATGTCGTCTGGCAACATGAACTAATGTACGTACGTACAAAGTTGTACGTTGTAACTGATTGACTGACATTGTGATAAAAAGTGCTAAGTATTATTTCATACCATTCGTAACTTGTTGAAGAACTTTGGTTATATATATATATATATATATATATATATATATATATATATATATATATATATATATATATATATATATATTAGGCAACCGTAATAGCATGTAGTTCATATTATTTTTCTGGTCAAATTTTTTTAAATTTAATATTAAAATATAAAATAATTAATGTCCAGTACATCTATTTTTTTCTTTGCATATTTTAAACACAGTTGTCAAACTCTTATCACATCAAGTATATCCAAAACACCAATACATTCTGGTTTAGCTGCTTATCGTTGTATTTGTCCAGCTGGTTTATCTGGTATACACTGTGAAATTGTTCATCCAGAAATTTTATCACAAACTTCATTGTTAAGTAAATCATTAGAGAAAAGTGATTCAACAATTCTTCAATCTGATATTACTTGTCATACAGCACAATTAATTCTAAAACAGGATATATTAAATAAACTACAATCAGGCAGTAGTTCTCATTTTCGTCATACCTTTTCTATGCCTTCTTCATCAAATATCAATGAAGATTCAAAAAAATTCGTTTGTTTACATAATGGTACATGTGTGGCATCGTCTAGTGGACCACAGTGTATTTGTCCATTGGGTTGGCAAGGAGCACGTTGTGAATATGATATTGATGAATGTCATGTAGTGAATAGTATCTATTCAAGTGATTTGCATCAATCCACACCTTATATTAATTGGTTAGAAAATCGTGCCAGTTCAAAAGGAGGTCTATGTAGTCCGTATAGTCCAGGACGAGGTGTATGTTTCAACACACCTGGTTCATATAAATGCAATTGTTCAATTGGTTTTTCTGGTCAACATTGTCAATCCAAGGTAAGTTGTGAATTTTTTTTAAACGTTTTTAACTTGCGAACAAAATGCATCAACTTGATATTTTTTAGATGAATTTCAATAGTTCAATATCTTCCTTAAGTCTATGATTCATAAGCTGTTTCTCACAGTTTAGCTATACTCCATTGAAGAAAGAAAATGTTACATTATAGTGATAAAGATACTAGACATTTAGAGCTACAAAATGAAAGCGTAGAGAAATTATGCTATTTAGAATCATATTAATACTGTACTGTAATATATGTCTTGTTTAATTCCCATCTACTAGGAATTTTTCGTCAGGGTTTCGTTCTCTAAATTGAATGGTTTAGTCATGGAGCTGTCATTGTTCCTCTGAACAACATTATCAGCGCCAACTTTAAGTGAAAGTATTTCGAAGTACTTTGTATCATTTAGTAATTTTTTTTAAGAACTTATCATTTTATGATATCATCACCATACGTAAAAACATTAGTCACATAGTCATAGTTCGTTGTATCATTTTACCAAGTTTTCAATCAACTATTGACCAAAATCCCAATATCAACAGGTGTCATTTTAGCCTAAATGTAACACTGTTATCAATTATAATTTTGTCTACTCGGTTTGGGTTAAATAACTGAATATGTAAGGGAAAGTTTTAGGTGCTATCCAACAATCTGAGTTGAAATAGGTATAGTGAGATCGGAACCTGTTACCCAGTAATCGAAAGTTGGATTCTTTTGTTCTACTAAATTTGAAGGAGAAATTAACGAACATATGTAAAAGGTTTATATTACACAACTATTTTTACATAAATACTATCGAGTCCTATAATTCATTGAATGTTGAACTTACCCACGTTAATATGTACAGACTGTTCAGTTGAGGTTTGTTTGATTATCATAGCTAAAGGTTGCATACTTTAAGTGACATGGCTCAAAATTGATCGCATCGGCACAAAACAGTTCACTCTTCGTCCTCCTTTAAATGTCGTATTACAAAATTAATTGGTACTTTTTGTTTTCTTTCTATACTGAATTTTATTTTACTACAACTAATACTATTACTGTTTTTACTACTCTGGAATTTATCTTGATAATTTCATCTAATTATGTTAATATATAGTGTGACAACTTGAACTGATACACATGTTTCAGGTTCTACTTTACTCATGGTTGACCGACTGACATGATTATTATATGATTAGTTTAGACGGCGAATAGTTACTTCTTCATAATCTTTTTACTGGTGTTTAATAATTTTGAATATACAAACGTTCATTCAGTGGAAATATCTAATGATGGATATATTTTTTCTCTCCCTTTTTTTTGTTTCATAAGAACTTAATCCCATTGATTCCTGATACCACTATGCTTGGACTTAGTCAATTTCATATTTATATCACCGTTGGCCTGTTAGCATTTCTGTTTCTGGTTGCATTGACCACAATAGTTTTGTTGGCATGTCGTGCTCGCGGTATTATTGGTGGAACATTGGATGGAAATCGACGATCTGTTAAATCGGTCAGTTCGTACTGGTCTAATGGTGGAAATCAACAAGTGAAACCTGCATCTCGTTTATCAGATCCTCGATTAAATCGTTTAAATCATTCTGCTGGTGGAAGTCTATCTGGTATACCATTTGTTGCTGCTAGTCCAGCACATTTAAATCATGCTAGTCATATTGGTACACATCCTCGATACCATGTGATATCGACAGGTCATCGTCGCCCTTCTCTAGCCTCATCGACATTCGGCTATCCAGTTGCAATGGATGACAGTGCTACTGCTCTACTTAACAGCAACTCGGGACAAATGCCATTTTCTCCAGAATCAGTTAAACTTGGAGGAAATTGTAATGCAGGTGCTACATTGGCAGACTATACAGATCGTGATGATTCCGTTTCTGCCTGTAATTCTGGATTGGTGCTATATCCCACTAATGTTGGAGATCAGATGCCTGTGATGATGATGCTTTCTCCCCTTCCTGGTGCACATGGATCAGTTGGTCCTGGTAACCGAGCGAGTGTAATTGCCCGCTACTCACCTGCTTCTTCTGTCATCTTCTACGGGCCAGGTGCTCCTTCTGGTTCGGCAACTCCTACAAATCAGATACATTCTCCTCAACCAGGTTTTTGTGTGGATTCATCGGGTTCTGGCTACGTTTCTCAACGCCAGTGCTTCACTGGTTCGCAAATGGCCTTATATCCAACAGGACATCCCTCGTTTTTACCTCATCCTCAGTCTCATCAACAGCTTATTCAAATGGTTAATATGCGTCCAAATTCTGTAGTAGGTTCTGATCGTTTGTCTCTCGGTTCAGGTAGTGACCGATTTTCTGCTCACAGTAGCCAGGTTTTGGTGCAACCTAACGGTACTGGTTCTATACCTTATCCAAATTGTCCTCAGTCTCAAGCTTTAACACCCCAATTATATTACCATCGACCATCAACACCTCAAAACCAAACATGGGCACCACATTTACCAAATATGGGTCACACTCAACCCGGTGTGTTGATAATAAACCAAAATCAGGATGATTCTAACTTAGAAGATGCATGTATGACACTAAAACCCCATAATACTGATACTATCAAAGCTGATGATGTAAACAAACTCCAGCCGTCTGTTAAAAGTCAACCAACTGGCAATAACCAAACATCTGAACCAAATACTAATAATAACCGAAAGGAACTCAACCAACGGCCAGTTCCTGCTAGCATCCAGCATACTACAAGTGCATTCGTATTACAAGGTCGACAATATCCTGACAGACAACAAAATAATCATGGTAGGTATTGTTATTGAATTTCTTTTTACCAATTTTTTGCACATTTATATACACTAGTTTAGTTTGTTTTTTTATTTTAACCGAGTTTCTTTTCCTTTCCTCTATTTCTAATTAAAGCTTTCAATTTATTGCATGCTATATATCCATGTTGTCCTCAGTCATATCTTATTTCAAATGCATGTTGTAATTCAAGTTCAAATCATATTTTCGGGCTAGCTGATCAAATACCATACAGAAGATATGGGTCTAACAAATTTCTCCCCTTTGGTATACACCAAACAATTCCTGTCATTCAGAACACACCTGTTTTACCACTAATGTTTTCGCACCAGTCAATCAACTTAGATCCATCGATTCCAAAGAATGCAACGAATATTAAAACAGATGTACTAAATTCAGAATCACTATTTCATCTTCCAGATTCATGCTCCGTTTTAAACGATGATAGTTTCCAATTGGAGTCCTCTATGCGTTGGCCTTCTACTCAGAATAATACCTTACTAATCCGTGATTCACTTGGTGGCTTACATCAGTCATCATTTTCAGCTATGCTGAATTCCAAAAGACAGACACTTACTAGTTCTCCATTACGTGGATTTCATCCCCAAACAAAAACAGATAAGGAAATTATTGGTTTTTCTTCTCGTCCTACACGTCAACGTCGAGGAAATAAAAAATCTGATGCAATTGAATTGCTTCCACCAATATCTAGACCACAATCAGCTCACTTACTTGGCCTACACTTAACATCGAAATCAGGCAATGGTTATATTGCAAATCACAAATCAGGTTTGTTTCAACAGCATCAATGTGCCCTCGAAGCATTTCATCGTTATTTTGTACGTGTGCTTGTGTGTATATGTGTGCCTAAATGTACGATGTAGCGCTTTCAGCAATAGTGCTTGCTTTTCTATTGCTACAATTCTTTTTTTTTCAAACTTATCGCTTAATTCAATTGTATTTTTACTTTTATTTATTTTCGAAGAAGCTCATACTAATTCTGCAATCCGAAATACTATTGTTGGAGAGACAAATGGTTATGTAAATGGTCCACGAGTGGTGGTGGTGGTAAGTGATCCTAGTTCGCCTCCAAAACATTTATCAAATAATTATGCAAAAGTTGAATCTACTAACACTTTACCAACTACTGAACATGTCAATAATTCACAAAACAATGAAACTAACAAAAACAATGGTATTTATCAAGGTGAAATTCCAAATAAATTGGATTGGTTCGGTAATGGATCTGGCTATCATCCACTTATGCCAAACAATATTTGTAATTCTTTTGAAGTAAACGGAAATCACAAAGAATCTTCGATAAAAACTGTAAGCTTTAATAGTACTATATAATAGATAGATAGATTATTATTATTATTATGAGATGGTGGAGAAGATTTGTAGCTCAGGCGGATGATCGTGGTGGTGGTGTTTCGTTCTCTGAACTGGATGTTTTGGTTGTGGAGCTTGCATGGTTCTTCTGAATAATAACATCATCAGCACAAACTTCAAATAGAAGTGGAGTATTTGAATTTCTCCATGTTTGGCTCGTAGCTTGTTCTGTTAAACTCGATCTTGATTGGTTGTCATTGACCTTAAACCTGTCGTTATCTGTCCTTTTTTTTGTGACTGCGTCCCCCTTTTGGTTCTGGATGCTATGTTTGTCTATGATTTTTCTGACTGGTTGATAAATTGGGTCAATGTCGATGTGTTTGTTGATTGCTGATTGACCTGAGTGCGAAGCTTCTTATGTCCACCAAAGGACAAAATGACAAAGGGAGAAAAACCAAATATCATCTACGAAATAAGTTGCTCAGACTATGAAAAATACTACATAGGACAAAGTGGACGTCCTCTTTTGCTTCGTTTATGTGAACACCAATTAGCAGTCAAACGCCACGACATTTATTCTCTTATAACATTACATACGGACAATTATGTACATACGTTTGATTGGAACAATGTGGAAATACTGGATAGTGGGAGCATAAAGAACACTTGGGAATTTTTAGAAGCTTGGCACTCAGGTCAATCAGCATTCAACAAACACATCGACATTGACCCAATTTATCAACCAATCAGAAAAATCATAGGCGACCCAGGATCAAGAAATAGATCAAAAGTGGAAGGTGCAAACAACGACAGGTTTAAGGTCAACAGCAACCAATCAAGATCGAGGTTAACAGAACGAGCTACGGGTCAAACGTGGAGAAATTTGAATACTTCACTTATATCTGAGGTTTGTGCTAATGACGTTATTCAGAAGAACAATGCAAGCTCCATAACCAAAACATCCAGTTCAGAGAACGAAACACCACCAAAATCCTAATTAATTAGAATTTAAAAAAAGTTCATTTTGTTAATTTCATAGAACTTTCTAAGTAGATAGATCATTCCGAACCGATTATTAATTGTAGGTTGAACATTCTGTCACCAAAATTAGGCAATCTTTATATTACCCGCATAAATATTAATAGATTTTTTTGAATAACTAGCTATAGTTTAATTTACAAGACTATCTATTCATTCTTTTAAACTAGTGTATTCAATAAATCTATAGGCATTTTCATATTCACAAAATATCTCTATCTGCTCCATAAATGGTGTATATTGGCACACCGAAATCAATAGTGATGCCACTACCTAGTTATAGACTATTTTTAACAGTTAATTGAAAAGAGTAGATTCGGGTGCGAATTGTTGACAGTCTTGGAAAAATACTTTGCTTTTGAATATTGGAAAATAGCGTACTCGTAAACGCTTATCGATTAAGTGCCTTCTGTGTAGTCTGTATCACGGTTGTACTGCTACCTTGACGTGGTGGTCGGGCTTGCCTTCCATGATGACGCGACCGAGCTCTATTGTCTGGAACATGTTCCTTAAAGTCTTATCATGCCAAGCAGATCGGTTCGGGAATCGTAAGACTCAAAGCAGCAACTTAAGATTTTGGGGTGAATTCGTACTGCTGACTGTAGCAAGGTGTGACGGCATTAGGGTTTTTCCCTCGGGAAACTAGCATCTTCAGCTATGCTGCCTTCTTACAAGGAAGGAGGGGGTTAGAAAAGGTTGATCCTAAAATGTCACACCTCACCTTACCCCACAGATTTCCGTCTCTGGCGGTAAGGTATTTCGAAGAGCAGAGCTAACGCGTTAAAAACTCCCCATAAAAGGCCGTCCGAGACCAGCCTCAAGCAGCTGTTCCTTGCGCTATGTAGTCACGCTTCTAGATCACTAAGACCAACGCTTACCCAACTTCCCTTCCAGGTTCCTCAGGAAAAACCCACAGTTTTCGCAGCCGGGAAGTGACATCCACCCTTATACCCGTAATAGCACACTAGATCAGCTGGGCCATAATCAAATCCTTCCTATACCTCTTAATAACTCTCTTTTCTCCACGACTAACCCTTCTCATATATCTTTCTCACCTTGCGCCACTAACGCAAACGATTTGAGTACACGAAAAGTTGTTCCTGGTCTCCTGATACCCCTCTCTAAACTACATGTTAGGGGTTTTAACGTCCAGGTCTTGTGCCAAAATGAACAAAAGTATTCTTTAGCTAGGTCTCTACAATCTCGTGCCATCGATGTATGTAGCGTCTCCGAAAGGCGCATGTTGGATCCGGTTGCAGTCATTCATTTGACCTCATTTCGTCAAGATAAAGAACCTTCTCGGTTTACCCTTCGTATATCTGCAGACCCCGCTGCAACTACTGCTGACCTTGCTGCTGTAGGTGTAGCATTGAATTCTAAAGCAGAGCCAGCTCTCTTAGACTGGATTCCAGTGGACAGTCGCTTGTACACTGTCTGAATAACTGGGACGGTGAGGACTCGGAAAGATAGAGACACTCGCCGTTGCGTCTTGGTTGTCTCTACCTACAGTCCCACTGACTGCAGCTCGGATGAGATAAAAGATGAATTTTACAGATACTTTCCTGACCTTCAAAATGCTAGGCGATGTGACGTAGAAATAGTGGCTAGTAACTTCATTGCTGATGTAGGTAGACTAAGCGAAACTGAGAGACATTTGAATGGACCTTATGGTGTTGCGACTCAGATAATGTCGACCGTCTGCTGCAGCTATCCTCAGATAACCGCCTGTTCCTAGCTAATACTAGCTTTAAGCAAAAGGATAAACATCTTTTGACATGGTGACCCCCAAAGTCGTCCCAACGCTGAACCCAAATAGATCACATCGCTACCAGCCACCGATGGGGAAGTTTGATAGAAGACTCGCTCGTTTTGGGGCACATGTTTAGATCCAGATCATTCTCTAGTGCAAGCGCGTATTTGTTTGCGGCTTACCGGACGTAGAAAAGATACCGCAAGAAAACTTCTTAGGGTTCTACTTAACGATAGCAAAGCCAAGAGTATATTTCAGTAGCAACTGGAAAAACAGACAACCATGTAAATTATGCCCACTCTGAGGTAGCTTGCAAAGATATCTAAAAAACTGTGTTGTACAAGCTCTCTCCTCGAACACTACTGGTCGAGTGATAGCTTATGGCAAACTGTCATCGGAATTGGTTACTTCAAGTGGTGTCCATCAGGGTTGTCCACTTTGTCCATGCTTATTCAACGTTGTCATTGACATGATTTTAGAGACGAAACTTTTATCATCTGACTTTTCAGGAGTTGACCTTCAACCAGAAGATTTGCTTGTTGACTTAGAATATGCCGGATGACATAGTTCTATTTGGTGAAGACGCTGACAAAATCCAGAGTCTTTTGACCACGTTAAGCAACAATTCACACATCTTCTTCATGCGATTCGCCCACTCGACACGCAAAATGTTGCTTCAGGATTATAGGCCTGATTCGGTACCTGATCTAGTGATGGGGAGTGAATTTATTTTTGTATGAAACATTGACGATAACAGAAAATATCTTGGCACACCTTCACGAGACAATCACCCTAAATGTTTGTACTGTCTAAAATATCAATGATTGAGTTCCTATGAGTTATCGACTGTAAATAAATTTCAGATCATAAGTTATAAATTGTTTATATATTTAAAATATCACAACTATCATATCTTTGAGAAATCTTTCACCGACAACACTCCACCGCTTAGTGTAATGTAAAATCATAAAGTAGTCTTTTTTTTCCCCAGTTCTCCATCACCTTTCAAAGTATTAACAACTTTTTCATGATAAAACTGACAGATCTGACAGTTAGTTATGTGCTTCTTTTCTTTGTTTTTAAATATTTCGATATCTTGGAATAAAGTGTATGATTCAGTTTATTTTCTGCCCTAAATTTTTTTTTCTCTAATGCATATGAGTATGCATATGTGTATGTTAGTAGACTGTTTGACAACAACTATGATTGTTTAATAAATACATATATATATTTATATATGTATATATAATCATGATTAATTTAACATCTATTATTTAAAATGTCTAATATAAACGTACCATTGTTAGGATTATCTAATAGAGGTGTACTATATTTCTTTTTTTGTTCTATCTTTTACTGACTGTCGATTAGTTTCAATGTTTTTGTTGTTAGTTGTCATTACTATTATTATTATTATTATTATTATCATTATTATTATTATTATTATTATCTGTAATCTATCAAACTGGTTTGTTATCATGCAAAAGGAGATTTATCATTAATTTCTTTCTTTATATAGAATGGTACCCCAGATGTAACAGTAACATCAGAAATCTGTAACAAATCACTAACAAATGGTCATACAGCAGTATTAACAACAACAGCATCACCTACAAAACAATCATTATCTTCTTCAACTGTAAATAATCGAATTCAGGATACTAAACATATTGCTCGCATAGATGATGTGTAATAATCAACTTATTATTATGATGATTATGCTTATTCAAATTCATTTCTGTCTTTTCATTTAAAATCTGTATTTAAACAATACAACGAATCTGTTTATCCGTTTCTTATCTCATCACTAAAATCAATACATAATTATTGATTATCTCTATATACATGTATATTTTTCAACTGCTGTTGCTGCTGCTGCCGCTGCCGCCCGTGCTGCTGTCTTTGTGAATACTGTTTTTATAAACTTTTATAAAATAATTCTGTAATACTTGTACAAAATACACGAAATCAGAAGATTAACAAAAATAAGTCGGTGATCAATATATACATATTTGTGCTACCGGTGCTAAATTTTTTTTATTTATCAGGTATGCACAAGTGAACTTATGCATTTCTCTTTGTCTCACTCTCTCTCTCACTTTCTCTCCTCCGCTGTCTCTCTCTCTCCTTCTCTCTCTTTTGATGTATAATCTACCTCGATAATATATAAATAGATTTTCATGTTTTCTTTCCCATCTTCTTCTTCTTCTCTATGTTCTTGTTGTTGTTGTTGTTGTGATTTCGAAGCTTGATTGTTTCAATATGGTCATTATCATCCATAACCCCAACAGCTACATTGTGTAACATTTGTAATTTTCACCTTTATTTCAACGATCTCAAAATAGAAAGAATATTGTTTTTTTTCCCTCTTATACAAATCATACTGAAGATTACTACTACTACTACTATTCAGTCAGTTTCTTGTTATTATTTATTATAGGCTTAAGTATGACCATGAATTCTTTTTTTTTGAAAAACTGGTCATAATCACAGTAAATAAATAAATTCTCTTTCTGTACGTCTTTTTTTTAAAAAAAGAAACATTTCTTTTACTTACCAAAGTGCTTTTAGTCATTCAATATTCTCATGTTTATTTATTGAAACGATAATGATGCAATTCACAAACCGGTTTCATTGAAATCACATTTTTAAAGTTACTATTATTATCACTATTATTATTTTTTTCCTCAAACTCATCCTCTTTAATTATTATATTTATTATTTGTCTGTCTAATTGTTTATTACAAAAAAAAACAAAGCAAGCAAGCGGGAAAAGTTGGTTTCTTCGTTCCCCTGTGTTGTGTTTTTGCAATTTGTTGCTAAGAGATTTTAACTATGTTCATTTTTGTTTTTTTTTTGTTTTTTTTTTAAAACTGCTTATTTCACTGGTCATATCAGTGCATAGATTGAGTATTTTATTCTTATCCTTATCTCTCTATCTCTCTCTCTCTCGCTCACATACACTTTCACATGTGTTGACCGTGTTATACGTGTACATGTGTGTTCATCTATGTGCTGCCGGATTTTTATTCATCAGTCTTGAGTTTTGTGAATTTTTCTTCTGTTATTAATTAGTTCATTGTTGATTTGCTGCTTGTTTATAATTTATTTTTAACCTTTCAGAAATGGGACATCGTGATATGAATATGAAATTTGTGCTTGTGTGTATGTATGTGTGTTGTAAGCATTGTAATTTTTAAAAGTTTTTAACGATTACTTTTATCAATTTTATGTTTCATTGATATACACATTCATATTCATATTATCATTCAGAAAAAAAAATACATAGGTTTTATTATAATAATTATTATTATTGAGTAATAATTGTTTTGTTATTTCATTTTATTTACTTCAATAAGTAATACATTGCATAAATTGAATGAATGCGATTCACATTTATACCAGAAAAAGTTTCAATCATATATGTTTGCAGTAATTTCAACAATCGAATTAAATATTGGTAACTGTTTAGTCGTAAGTGCTCTGTCTATATTCGGATTGTTTGGTTGTAGATTGATTTCAAGATTGTTCTACACTTTGACACCGTAATGTTATCATGGATTTTCGTTCATTGGCATACAGAACAAAATCTAGGCTATAATTTGATTGATAAACTCTGATTATATTTTGATTAGAGTGATGTTAAGTGTTAAATTCCTGACGTAAAACAAATCAATATGATACAACGTTTAGTTGCTCTAAAATTCGTATAGAAAAGTAGTACTGAAGTATATCAGCTTCTGTTATTGTTATAATGAATGCCTACGAATTTTACTAATGAGTACATGTTGTACTGTTGAATAGTGGGAAGCACTATGATTGATAAGTAGTGGGCAGTGTAGAAAGTGAGTATCTTTACATTAAATCTGACTCCAAAGCAAAATAGTCCAATATAACTTTATGCAACTTAAAACCTAAACATTTCTGGTAATGCAAAAACAAGTTCAAATCAGAAATGTAATATGAATCTCCAAGGTGACCTGGTCAATGTTATACTAATGAAGAGACTTCGGAGCAATAATACTACAAAACCTACTGGCCGAAAGTTTATTTTGTGCGTTTGATAAAGCAAAAATTTCATTTCATGCAAAACATTCATTTAACCACCAAGTATTGCACCAGAGAAGACTTTAGTTAAGAGAAACAACGGATAGAGAAGGTTCATTTGACGATGTTTTGATTCTAGTCCTGATTTTCTGCTGAGGATGGCATATAATACTTCAGAGCTTGAATAAGGGGATGTTTTTATGGAAACGAATGCAGAGCAGATGCTCTATTAGCTTTAGATTACTACTAACAAGATGTGACCTTAATATGTATCAGATAGACTTATGAACAAGCAGTGTTCTGTGCTGAAAGTTACAGTACCAAAATTATACAGGAAGTCTGAAGTAGGTTTGGAAACACTTTTCTTCATTAAAATTTAACCCTTGCACATCGCTAGTTTGTTCAAGTCAGAAGTTTTCCAGTAATATATTCTATTTAAAACAATATATAGAATAGCAGTATTTGTGTAGCTTTCTTTTCACACATTCTAAGAGTGTTTGCATATTAGACCCTGAGGAGTAACAGTCAGTCAGTCATTTACAACGCAGGACTTCGTACATACGTATATCAGTTCAAGTTGCCATACCACATTAACACAGATGCAATTGTCAATTCAAATCCCATAGTAGTAGTGGTAGTCAAAGTATTAGCAGTAGTCGGAGAGATTGAGGTTCTAAGATATTCGAATAGTAGAATTCAGTGAAATAAACTTATAAAGAAAGATAAGGGTGATGAGGAATTCAGAGGATTAGGATTTGAGAGAACAAAAAGAATGAATGCACTAGCGCCATTGCAAATGGTTTTGAGCCATGTCGTTCAAGGTCTCTAACCATTGGTGACTTTCGTCTCGCGGACCCCAACCAGGTAGTTTACACCTCCCAACATGACTCACTCCACTCGTCAGTGACTTCATGGATTTGTGACATGTTTCGGTTTGGCCGCCCCTAGTTTTCCTCCAAGCTATCCCTACCTTGCAAAACATAACTCGACGAGGCAGTCAGTGTTTGGGCACATGCAGCACATTTCCCAACTACCTCACTACTTCTATTGATGTGCCATCCTTATCTAGGACCCGTAAGGATGGCATATGTGACGGGTATACCTTAAAATAAGTTTAAGCTCCAGATTCAGATAAACAATATTGCCCTTTATATTTCTTTTCTATCTGGAACTAGTGTAACTGATATTCACCCTATGACAGAGTTATGAACAATTCTCTTTACAAAACCTTGTACGAGATATTTACAAATCAATGAATTTTAGTGTTTAGGTACGAAATAGCTTCATTGCGAAGCCGCAAATAATCCTCAGTCTACTTTTATTTATCTATTTTTTTATTGCTACTCTGTAGGTTTCTCCCATTTTCTCTGGCATGATTTCAGTATTCTTTCGTTACTATGAAATCGTCAGCAAATATACTGATTTCATCTGAACATTCCTAATCTTGTTTCTTATTAACTCACGACGGGATTACGCTTAAGACCCGAACGTAATTGGCTGTTAGGTGCGTTCATAGTCATCCTTTGATTGGAACCACTAACAGGTCTAATAGAATAGTGCTGGTTGGGTATTTAGTGTAAAGAGAAACAAGGCAATATAACTCAAACCTCGCCACATTAATAATTTCTTTTCCATTTTATGTGTAATACATGTTTATTTTTCTCGCTTCCACAAACATACACACTGAATTGTCTTCACATAAATCTTAATTTGCCTTTTTTTAATCTTTATTCTTTTTTTACCTTATGGTCAACTTGATGTTCTATACATAACAGAACTTGCCTAATTATGGTGAATGTAAAGATTGATGAAATTCTTGTGTATAATTGCATTTCTGACGAAACCCCAAGTGGTTTCTTCATGACACCTATATGAATAAGCTAATTGTGGACAATAATGATGATAATCCATAGGTTTGAAATAGGATGTGTTTAATACTTTTAAATGAACCCAGTAAGTCCACTGACCATAAAAAAAGTTTCTATGAATTAAGTAGGAGAAATAATGCGAACTTAACAGCCGCGAAATAAAATGTTGGCATATTTTCAAATTATTAACCGGAAGCTGAGCATACATAGCACTTCTTGGTTTACATGGACAGGAAGACTGCACTACACATACGCTCCTCCCTGGTAGGAAATCAAATGCGTGATGAAGTGCCTTGAATGCCATGAGTCTAACACTGTTATGTGTCTGGAAAAAATTATCTAGATAAACCACAATGCTAACCCCGGTGTAATAGTCAGATGCTGAAGGAATTAGTCTATTATCGCGTAGACTAAGACATCTTAATCTCAGTAGACATTTGTCCTTTCTAAGTGAACCTCACAGAACACAAAGACTGAAGTCATGCTCTTTAACCTCATAGGAGTGCCAAAATTGTTTGAAAATGCAAAATCAGGAACGTCGTAGAAAAGCAGTCAGGAATCATCACTTTTAGACTGAGCGTTCGCTGACAAAGAATTTCTAGTCGATATACTCCCATTCCTGCTTGCCTCAATAAAAATTGGGAACGCGGACTGAGACCGAACTAAAACGCTCTCTAGAGATTATCACCGCCTAAATCACAAGATATCATGCTCCGTCATGATGCTCAGGTCATGACTAGTGTCTTCTAGTTGTTAATTACTTAAGATCGAACCAATG